TTTTTTTTTTTTTTTTTTTTTTTTTTTTCAGACAGAGTCTCGCTCTGTCACTCAGGCTGGAGTGCAGTGGCGTAATCTCGGCTCACTGCAACCTCCGCCTCCCGGGTTCAAGCGATTCTCCTACCTCAGCCTCCCAAGTAGCTGGGACTACAGGCATGCACTACCATGCACAGCTAATTTTTTTTTTTTTTTGTATTTTCAGTGGAGATGGGGCTTCACCATGCTGGCCAGGCTGCTCTCGAACTCCTGATCTTGTGATCCACTCGCCTCAGCCTCCCAAAGTGCTGGGATTACAGGTGTGAGCCACTGTGCCCAGCCCCAATTTCTTAAATAATAAAAATAAGATTAAAATTAGTCATGCAATGAATGTCTCATATTAGTAGGAAGAATAATATTGTTTGCAATATTTTATCACTCTGCCACTATACTTCTCTGTGTTTCTCTCTTCTCTTGAAAATTGTTAATAATAGTCCCTATCTCAGGGTTGTTGTGAGGATTAAATGATGTATATAGGCCAAGCATGGTGACTCATGCCTGTAATCCCAGCACTTTGGGAGGCTGAGGTGGGTGGATCATCTGAGGTCGGGAGTTCGAGACTAGCCTGGCCAACATGGTGAAATCCTGTCTCCACTAATAGTACAAAAATTAACCAGGCATGGTAGTGCACACCTGTAATCCCAGCTACTTGGGAGGCTAATGCAGAAGAATCGCTTGAATCCGGGAGGCAGAGGTTGCAGTGAGCCGAGATCGCGCCATTGCACTCCAGTCTGGGTGAGACTCCGTCTCAAAAAAAAAAAAAAAAAAAGATGTATATAAAGTGCTTAGAACATTGTATGGCATATTGTAAGTGTGCACTGTTTCCATTTATTATTTCTCTGTAACTGAGTTGAGTATATGAATATATAATATACATGTATCACTCTTTGACTCAATCACTTGAATCATTGATTAGGTGACTTCACATTTATTAAATTCATTCCACATCAGTAAAATATAATTCCTTATCATTTTAATAGCCACATAGTATTCTATTATATAGGTGTGTTATTTTTATTTAACCAGCTCCTACTGTTTGATGTAGGAGTTTATTTCCACTGTTCTGCTATTATGTTTTTCTTTCTTTTTTAAAAAAATTTTACATTAGTTTCTTAATTTGACCCCAGGTGAACTCATGTTTTGCTCTTATGATCAACACTAAAATTTAAGATCATATAAACATCACTGGGTCCCTGTCCAGTTTTTTTTTTTTCTTTTTTTTTGAGACAAGGTGTGGCTCTGTCACCCAGGCTGGATTGCAGTGGTGCGATCTTGGCTCACTACCACCTCCACCTCCCTGGCTCAAACCATCCTCCCACATCAACCTCTTGAGTAGGTGGGACTACAGACACGTACCACCATGCCCAGCTAATTTTTGTATTTTTATTAGTAACAGGGTTTTGCCATGTTGCTCAGGCTGGTCTTGAACTGCTGAGCTCAAACAGTCTGCCCGCCTCAGCCTCCCAAACTGCTGGGATTTCAGGCGTAAGCCACTGTGCCCAGCCTTCAATTTTTAAGTTTTGAAAATTAATCACATACTTATTGTTTAATTTTTATCTTAACAATGACATTCCACAGGTTTGCTCATGAAAAGTTTCATGGTGTGAAGAAGCTCTGGGCTACATGAAGACTATTGGCCATTCTTATTTTTATATTTATTTATTTGAGACAGAGTCTTGCTCTGTTGCCGAGGCTGGAATGCAATGGCGAAATCTCGGCTCACTGCAACCTCCACCTCCCTGGTTCACGTGATTCTCCTGCCTCAGCCTCCCAAGTAGCTGCGATTACAGGTGCCCGCCACCATGTCTGGCTGATATTTTGTATTTTTAGTAGAGACGGGGTTTCACCATGTCGGCCAGGCTGGTCTCCAACTCCTGACCTTAGGCGATCCGCCCGCCTTGGCCTCCCAAAGTGCTGGGATTACAGGTGTGAGCCACCCCGCCCAGCCCATTTTTTAGTTTTAAAGTATTTCCATATGGCCTGTGATCTGTTTGGAAACAAGACATTTACAAAGTCAAGGAAATTATAGTTTGTGTGATCACCCAGGAACCTTGTAGGATATACAGATACTACTGAAGAAAGATAGGAAGGCACTTATTTTAACTCAGAGTCCACCTGATACTCTTAGCACTGCCCTCCAAATTTCATTCTAAATGCAATAAATTCATTTTTAAATCTTAATTTTTAATCGAAGCAAAAGCAATACATGTGTATAGTTTTTAAAAATCAAACAGTAGGAAAAAGACATAGAATGAAAAGTAATAAAACTGTCCTTCTCAACTCTTGCATCCCCAAATCAGAAACATAAACTTTTACACATGCTTGTTTAGAGATTATACCCCTCGTTTTCAATAGCATGCCTTTATTACTATTTCTTGACTTGATGACATGAGGCATTTTCTGCTGACTTCCTGCCGCCCCCCTCAGCTCTCCTTCCCCCTGAATATAGTCATATCACTAATTTTTAACTCTTCTGTTGGCTACCTGGTTCAATGAATAGCAAAGTGGAATGCTCTGATTGGATTTTCTCATCACCGACTCCAGAGTCTTGATCCATGTGCCAATATTCAAACAGATTCCCTTTCTCACACTTTTAGCAACTGTTCAAAATCTGAGGTTGCTTCATATGTGAAACATGAGTTTCTTGCACAGTTTTTAATGTTTTTCCCTGTAGTTTCTTTCTGTCATTTTTTTTTTCCTTTGGGTTGAAGAAATGTATGCCTTCCAGAACATGTTATTAATGTCCTCCAGCTTATTATTCAATCCATCTATTGCTTAGAGTTCATTCCATTCAATTGGGTCTATTCACTTCGATTCTAATTGGGAGCTTTGCCTGCTATCTGAGCCATTCTTGTTCAGTTTATCTTTCCTTAGGTTTTTAGTTACCTTTCCCCGTTTTTCTTTTTTTTTTTTCTTATTGCATTCTGTGCCAATTGTCATTTCCTAAAGTTCGCGCTGTTTTGTTTTACGGATGCAAAAACTTCTCAGATATGTTTAAGGATTTTCAAATTTTTAAGCTATATTCTGTTCCTTCCAATATTTACTTGAGAGTCAATTTTTCATTGTGTCTTAGACGATTTTGGTTATATTGCAGGCTTTCCACAAATGCTGATTTTTTTTTCTTTTTTTGCCACCCATTTATACTAAAAGATGAGGCAATGGAAAGAATGAGTGGCAAGTCTGCATGCACGAGCGGAGTTGGTCGCTTTGCTCTAGGGTGGGTGAGCAGGTGGGTGGAAGTCAGCCATCCTGCCGAGGAGCCCCCAAATGCCACAAAGTTAGTGGCTCTAAATATGTACCTGCAGGTGGATGTTGAGAATCACCGAGGCCAGGATGTAGAAATAGAAGAAGTTCTTGCGCAGCCGCCAGGCCAGGTCGAAGAAGGTGAGCAGCGTGCGCGTGAGCGTCTTGCAGAAGGCGCCATACGAGCCGCGGGTCCCCTGCGAGCGCGACAGCCGCACCGCCAGGCCAGACAGGGCCGCCGCCGCCATGGACCTGATGCCGCCTCCAACATAGTGCCCAGAGCCCAAGACCTCCATCAGGCTCCGCTGACCCACCGACCGTGGGACAGAGGGATGGACGCGGGGAAATACGGGCGGGAGGCCTGCTGGGCGGCTGCTGATTCGAGCTGCGCTGCAAGGCGGAAGCCCTCCTTTCCCGGCAGGGCTCTGGCCCCAGCGGTCACTGGCGCCCTGCCAGGTTCCGCCCCGCCCCACGGGGTCCGCGTGGCCTAGAGTCAGTTTAGCCTGACTGTCCTGGCCCGGGCCCCAGAACCCCAGGAGAGGCAGGGCACGTGCTGACGTGGGAGACCTAGCTTCCTAACCCAGGCTGTCTTTTCTTTAAAATTATGTTTAATTGTTAAGTTTTTTCCAGTTTTTAAGTTTTAACAAAAGCAACACAAAACTTGCTCAAAACGATATAGAATGTCCTTCATAAGCATGATCTTGAGCAACTCAGAAGTACAAACCCATTTCCTGTTGTCTCAGATCCCTTTAGGAACGTTTTTCAATCTTCTACTCTGAGCTAGTACAAATATAGAAAACCCACAACTTTTCTGGACTTTAAAATGTGTGCATTCTGCTTGAATAATTCAAGCAATACTTCCGTTTTTGTGTTAGATCCTTCGTATTCTTTTGATTGGAAAAGTCATTCAATCAAGTTTTTAGAAATTTTCAAAGCAGAAATATGTAAAACAATAGATAGCAAATTCCCTACACAGCTTCACTTTCCCCTCCTACCCTTGCCACGAACTACTATTACGTTTACTGTATCTACTTCCCGACTTTATGTATTGACATATTGCTCTTACCTTTTCAAGAATGTACACCTACCTCACTCTCTTTGATGACTGAATAGTGATCTATATATATAGTGACTAATAATGGGGTCAATAGTTTATTTAACCAGATCCCTATTGATGGACATTCTGAATGTTTCTAGTTTTTCATGTGTCAAAAATTGTTTCAGTGAACATCATTGTACATATGAATTTACAAGTGGCAGAACAGTAGGAATAGTATGACCCCATCTTTATTTATGAAAACAATTACATATACATATACATTTAGTGTCCAAAGCCAAAACGTTTTACTAATACATGTGATTGATCAAAAAAGTTTAGAGATCAGGGCTCTTGAGTGTTAACAATCTTAAATTTTTTTATTGCCAATATGATAGGCGATACAGTTCATTATTCTTCTAATTTGCATTCATTTAATTATCAGTGCAGTTGAGCAACTTTTCTAAATTTCTGAAGTTTCCAATATTGTTTTTCTGATGGCTTGTAAAACATTAAACATTATAAATGTTTATTATGAGAAAAGTAAAATTCCTGGGCTCATAACCCCCAGAGAGAAAGACTGCTAATTTGCATATGTTTCTATCAATTGTTTGCATATATTTATAAGCACAAACATGTATATACACATAGATATATTTACAAATCGTAAAACAAAAATGGAATCAGATAAAACTATGCAGTCCAGGCATGGGGGCTCACGCCTGTAATCCTAGCACTTTGGGAGGTTGAGGCAGGCAGATCACCTGAGGTCAGGAGTTCAAGACCAGCCTGGCCAACATGGTGAAACCCCGTCTCTACTAAAAATACAAAAATTAGCTGGGTGTGGTGGCACTTGCCTGTGGTCCCAGCTACTGAGGAGGCTGATGCAGGAGAATCGCTTGAACCCATGGGTGGAGGTTGCAGTGAGCCGAGATCAAGCCACTGCACTCCAGCCTGGGTGACAGAGCTATACCCCGTCTCAAAAGCAAACAAACAAACAAAAAACAAATAAAACCAAACAAACAAAACAACATATACCCCCACCATTGCTTTTAAACATAATGATATGTCTTGCATATGTTCCCATGTTGATACTTTATTGGCTGTGTGTTATTCCTTATGGATGGCCAATAATTAACTGATCTCCTGTTGATGGATTTTTGGATGGTTTCAGATTTTTCGCAATCATAAGCAATCGTGAGATTAATATTTTGCATGCACATCATTTTACACCTTTCTGATATTTTCCAGGTATACATTCATAGAGGTGGAATTCTTAGGTCAAAGGGTTTTCATGCGAGGATTTTGATACATATTGTCAAACTGCCTTCCACTAGCTTGTACTAATATATACATGAACATACCATCAGTGGTTCCTAACAATTAGCATTCACATTCTTTTAATCATTTGACATTCTGATAGGTGAAAAGGGTATCTCACTGTTGTTTTAATTTGCATGTTTTGATTACTAGCAATGTTGCTCCATTTTAGCCAATGTCTCATTAACAAGGCAAGTCACAGAGCAGATTCAAGAGAAAAGAAATAGATCCAAATATTAACAGTTCATTTTTATGTGTATCTGGCATTGCACATTTGTATGAATGGAACCACTCTGTCAAAAGTTTTGCCATCTTACTGGGCACAGTGGTGGTTACCTGTAGTCCCAGCTTCTTGGGAGGCTGAGGTGAGAGAATTGCTTGAGCCCAGGAGTTTGAGACCAGCTTGGGCAACATAGCAAGACCCCCATCTCTAAAAATAAATAAGTAAATTAACTCTTTTAAAGTTTTGCAGTCTTGATTTTAATAGCTATTTCCAATTCCTATGTAAAAAGTTGTACCAGGCTGGACGTGGTAGCTCATACCTGTAATCCCAGCACTCAGGAGGCCAAGACAGGAGGATGGCTGGAGCCTTAGGAGTTCGAGAACAGCCTGGGTAACATAATGAGACCCTAGCTCTACAAAAAAGTAAAAAATTAACTGGATATGGTGGCACAGGTCTGTAGTCCCAGCTACTCAGGAGGCTGAGGTGAGAGGATTGCTTGAGCCTGAGAGGCCAAGGCTGCAGTGAGGCATGATTGTGCCACTGCACCCCAGCCTGGGCAACAGAGCGAGACCTTGTCTCAAAATAAATTAAATTAAATGAAAAAGTTATAACAATTCCCACTCCCTCAGGCAATTTACAAAGCCGTTCATTTATCCATGCCCTCGCCCATATTATTATGTATTATTTTAATATAATGTAAAAGAAAATCATCATTCTTATTATTATTATTTGAGACAGAGTCTCGCTATGTTGCCCAGGCTGGAGTGCAGTGGTGCGATCTTGGCTCACTGCAAGCTCTGCCTCCTGGGTTCACGCGATTCTCCTGCCTCAGCCTCCCAAGTAGCTGAGATTACAGGCATATGCCCCCACACCTGGCTAATTTTTGTATTTTTAGTAGAGATGGGGTTTCACTATATTGGCCAGACCGTTCTCAAACTCCTGACCTCAGGTGATCTGCCCACCTTGGCCTCCCAAAGTGCTGGGATTACAGACGTGAGCCACCACGCCCAACCCTAGTTATTTTTAATTTACCTATATTTGATTATTGTTGTGGATGAATATTATACTTATTGGTCATTTGTAGTGGTGTCAAAAGGAAGGGGAGCCAAATAGGCAGGGTGACTGGTGGCTAGGCAGAAGGCTTACAACTAGGCTGTGGAAACGCCGGGGCGGTGGCTGTGACAGCAAGAAGAGGACTAGGCAGCCTTCTCCTCGCCTTTTCATAACTCCCTGCCCTTCAGGTTGCCCAGGCCTTGGCCCCTTGGCTCATTTCTATTTTAAAATGTTTGCTTAGGCCGGGTGCCGTGGCTCAAGCCTGTAATCTCAGCACTTTAGGAGGCCAAGGTGGGCGGATCACAAGGTCAGGAGATCAAGACCATCCTGGCTAACATGGTGAAACTCCATCTCTACTAAAAATACAAAAAAATTAGCCAGGCATGGTGGCGGGCGCCTGTAGTCCCAGCTACTTGGGAGGCTGAGGCAGGAGGACAGTGTGAACCCGGGAAGTGGAGCTTGCAGTGAGCCGAGGTCGTGCCACTGTACTCCAGCCTGGGCGACAGAGCAAGACTCCATCTCAAAAAAAAAAAAAAAGTTTGCGTAAGGCAGACAGAACAGCACAAGCAGCCTAAAATTGATAAAATCCCAACGAGAGCCCTAGGAGAGACACAGTGGTCAAAATGGCCTAAAGTAATGCATTAGGCAAAGGAAATGCCTCCTTCTCTCTCACGCTACACACCAAATATGAAACAGTAGAATTAGGCCAAAGTTCTTGTCTTAGGAAAATTATGCAAGTCATCTTTTGCTCTTCTTTCTCACAGTAGAGTGCATATACCTTGATTCTTTTTTCTGAACCACTCGCTCAATATATATGGGAAGAGGCCAGGCATGGTAGCTCATGCCTGTAATCCCAGCACTTTGGGAGGCTGAAGCAGGAGAGTTGCGTGAGTGCAGGAGTCCAGAACCAGCGTGGGCAATGCCATTTGTGGTGGCACATGCTTGTAGTAGTCCCAGATACTCAAGAGACTGAGGCAGGAGGATTGCTCGAGCTTGGGAGATCAAGGCTGCAGTGAGCTATGATCTCACCACTGCACTCCAGGCTCGGTGACAGAGCAAGCCTCTCTCTCTCTCTCTCTCTCTCTCTCTCTCTCTCTCTCTCTCTCCCCCCCCATATATATATATACATATATATATATGTATATAGATAGATACACATATATATGTTATTTACATATGCTTATGTATGTACATATATACATATACATGTACATATAGGAAGAATATAGTACATATACATGTAATTTTTTGCACTGCTACCATTGATCTATAGATAGTAGATTAAAATGTAATCTGAGGTTGTTGTGGTGCAAGATACTCAATTGAACACAGGTATTTACCTTCCCAAAACAAATAGAAACAATTATAAAGAAGTATAAATTCATTCGTAAAAGCAGTGGAGAGGGTGAGGATGGCAGAGCAAAGATTTTGACAGATTCCTGAAATGAATGCTGATGGGATCAAACTGAAAAATAAATCAGAGTGTAGTGTACCAGTGATTCCCAGGAAAAGGCTGCAGCATAGGTGGAAGCCATTTTCATGGAAGAGGCACCCCCTGCTCTCCAGGTACAGAGAGTGGAAGTGGGAGGATCACATAAAATGGGACGATTATTTGAAGAACTATTTGGATCTATTTCTTTCTCTTGAATCTGCTGTGTGACTTGCTTTGGTCAATGGGACATTGGTTAAAATGGTGCAAGCAAAAGCTGGAAAAGTGCTTTTGCACTGGGGCTTGCTAGTCTTGGAAACCTGCTGCCACCATGCAAACAAACCAGATG